GGCCTTGAGTTCACTTTGTAACCCAGGCTGGTCTCAAACTCGCAACAATCCTCCTGCCTCAGCCTTCCAAGTGCTGGGATTATAGGCATGCGCCACCACGCCCAGCCCAAGACTTTTAACATTAACAAAATTGTTGGAGGTACCTCCAAAGTATGAGAAAGTAAGCCATTGTGGAAGACATTAAGAAATCAATTCTCTGGTTTTTGTTTTTTGTTTTTCTTCCGGTACCAGGAATCAAACTCACGACCTTGCGCTTGCCAGGCAGGCGCTGTGCCGCTAAGCTAAATCCCCAGCCTCTAGAAATCAATTCTTTGGCCAAGGGTATACCTTAGTGGTCAAAAACTTGCTAGCATGATAAGGCCCTGAATTTGATCCTTAGAACTACCACTCAAAAGAAAAGCTGGGCATGGTTCCACATGCCTGTAATCCTGGCATTCGGGAGACTACTGCAAGAGGATTTTAAGTTCAAGGCCAGCCTGGGATATATAAACAAGTTGCACTACATAGTAAGACCCTGTCTAAAAAGGGAAGAAAAAAAAAAAATTAGCTGTCATACCACTGCCTAAAATTTGTTTCACTTTCCCTCATTTCTAGACACTTAGTCCCGGCAGGCCATCATGATGCATGACTAATTCCAGCACTCAGAAGGCTGAAGCAGAAGAACTGCACTGCTGTGAGGTTAAGGGCCAATTTGGGCTACACACTGAGTTCAAACCCAGCCTGGACTACATAAGAAAGGCCCTGTTACAAGTAAACAAACAGAAAAACAAAATCACAGAAAACCACACACCTCACTTAGTCCTAATAAGATTAAAAAACTGTGAAAGACTTGTACACTGAGAGCTCTAAGACATCGCTAAAAGAAATTAAAGATGTCAATAAATAGAAAGATAACCTATGTTCATGGATTGGAAGACTTGATATTGTTAAGATGTCATTACTATCCCCAAGGGACTACAGATTCAGTACAATCCCAATGAAAATTCTAACATTTTTGCAGAAAAGAGAAAAATTCAACCTAAAATTCAATGGAACCTCAAGAGGCCACAAATGGCCACAACAATTTTGAAAAAGGAGACCAAAATCAGAGGTCTCACAATTCCTGCTTTCAAAATTTATTGCCGGGTGCATGTCTGTAATCTCAGCACTTGGAAGGCTCAGGCAGAAGGATTGCTTGAAGTTCAAGGTTAGCCTGGGCTACAAAGTGAGTTCAAGGCCAGCCTGAACTACAGAGTGAGAACCATCTCAAAAAGCCAAAAAAAAAAAAAAAAAATTATAGTCACAGTAATCAAAACACCATAGCACTGGCATAAAAAAAAAATATAGCATAATGAACTAGAGGGCCTAGAAATAAACTCCCATGATATGGTCAAATGATTTCTGACAAGGATACAAAGACCATTCAATAGGGAAAGGACAGTTTTTTTCAACAAATGGTGGGAGGAAAATTGGATATCCATATGCAAAAGGAGGTTGGATCCTTAAGTAACATCATATGAAAAAATTAAAATCAAAGACAGACCTAAGCCAAGCACGGTGGCTCACGCATGCATTTGCAGCTACTAGGGAGCTGAGGTAGGATCACAAGTCTAAGCACAGTCTGGACAACAATGTGAGACCTTCTCTCAAAAGTAAAAAATAAAATGGGCTAGGGATATATAAGGCCCTGGATTCAACTTCTAGTATTACTAAAAAAAAAATGAAACATTCAAAACTTCTGTGCATTAAAGGACACAACAGAATGAAAAGGTAATCTAAAGAATGGAAGAAAATATTTCCAAATCACATACACAATAAGGGATTAATATACCAAATATATAAAGAATTATCACATTGACAAAAGAGATACAATTTTTAAATGGTCAAGGGACTTGAGACATATCTTCAAAGATACATAGATAGCCAATAAGCATATAAAAAGATGCTTAGTATCACTAAATTACAGAAGTGCCAATCAAAACCACAGTGGGTTATAGTACCTCACAATTGTGAGAACAAAATGGTAAGCGCTGAAAGGATGTGGAGAAACTGAAACCTTGCACACTGCTGGTAGGAATGCGTAATGAAACCTTGTACACAGCTGCTGTGGAAAACAATCAAAATAGCCACCACATGATCCACCAGGTCTACTTGGGTATACATCCAGAAGAAACCAAAGCAGGGTCTCAGAGAGATGTTTCTACAACTAAGTTTATAGCAAAATTATTCACAAGAGCCAACAGCTAGAAGCAACATATATGAATACTATTTAGCCTTAAAAAGGACAGAAATTCTGGCATATACTTGGAGGACATGCTAAGCAAAAATAAGTCATATAAGGTATCCAGCACAATTAAATTTATTTTTTTTTTCAATTTTTTTTTGCAATTAAATTTTAAAAAATCAAGTAAGGTTAAAGGGCTTGGGAAGATGGAAAGTTGTTGCCTAATGAGTATAGTTTCAGTTTTTAAGATAAAAATTTTATTTGTTTTTTTTTTTTGTTTGTTTGGTTGGGTTTTTTTTTTGTTTTGTTTTGTTTTTTTCCGGTACCGGGAATCGAACTCATGACCTTGCGCTTGCCAGGCAGGCACTGTGCTGCTGAGCTAAATCCCCAGCCCCTAAGATAAAAATTTTAGAGACTGGTTGCACAACATGAATTTAATACTACTGAACTGTATATTTAAAAAATGATGAAGATGCTGGGCATGGTGGTGCACACTTGTAATCTCAGCACTCAAGAGGCTGAGACAGGAGGATTTCACATGAGTTCGAGGCCAGTCTGGGCTACATAGTGAGTTCAAGCCCAGCCTGGATTACACAGTGAGACCTTGTCTTTAAAAAAAAAAAAAAAAGGCAAATTTTGTTTTGTATATTTTATTATAAAAATTGTTTTAAAAGTTCAAGATGTATTTGGGTGTGGTGGTCCACACCTGTAATCTCAGCACTCTGAGACTAAGACAGGAGGATTACAAGTCAAATTAAGCCTGAACCATTTTATGAGACCCTGTCTCAAAATTTAAATAGGGCTGCGTATGATGGTGCATGCCTGTAACTCCAACCCTTGGGAGTCTGAAGCAGGAGAGGTCAAGACCAGCCCAGGTTATGTGGTGAATTCAAGGCCACCTGAACTACATACCAAGACCCTGTCTCAAAAAACAAGTTTTAAAAGGGGTGAAGCTGTAGCTCAGAGTGAAAGCCCTAGGTTCAATCCTCAGTACTTAAAAAAAAAAAATTCAAGTTATGTGTTATGTGATACTATTATTTTCCCCTTTAACAATATATCCTGAGGGCCGGGAAATAGCTCAGCGGTACAAGTGCCTGCCTGGTGAGGTCCCGAGTTCGACTGCTGGTACAAAAAAAAAAAATTAAATAAATAAAAATAAAAAATGTTACAATATATCCTGGGTACCTTCCTGAACCATTATATGCATTTGTTCTTTTTTTTTTTTTGGCTTTGATTTTTCTCCGGTACCAGGAACCGAACTCATGACCTTGCACTTGCCAGGCAGGCGCTTTGCCGCTGAGCTAAATCCCCAGCCCCTGCATTTGTTCTTTATTCTTTTTTTTACTGACTAGTTATTAGTATAGGTATGCCATTAATAAACCATTTTCTGTATACGGGCAATTAGAATATTTCCATTTGTTTCACAATTACCGACCTCGCTGCAATAATTTTTTTTGCCTGTATGTCTTTCTATAACTGTACGAACATAAGCCATAGCCTAAAATTTAGTCAAATTCTAAAGACTCTAGATATAAAAAAGAGTACCAGCAAGGTAACACACAGTTATAAAATCCAATTTAAATCCTGCCACTAACATTCTTAAGGACCAGCCAGTGTGGTACACATGCCTGAAATCCCAGCTACTCAAGAGACCAAAGCAGCAGGATTGTAAGTAGGAGGGCAGCTGGGGCAACTTAGTGATACCCTATCTCAAAATAAAATTTCAAAAGGACCTGAGGTATGGCTCAATGGTAAAGCACTTGGCTAGCACATACAAGGCACTGGGTTCAATCCCTAGTATTGCAAAAAAAATTCAAAACAAAACAAAACACAAGGACCTCATGGACTTTGATTCAGTGATTATATTTTAAGGAAAACATTCAAGGAAGGCAAAAGCTACCACTTAGTTTTATTAGAAAAAAAAAAAAAAAAAAGAGAAACAGTTCTTAATAGAGAAATTGCCAGGGATATAGCTCAGTGGCACAAGTGCCTGCTTGTCAAGCACAAGGTCCTGAGTTTGATTCCCAGACAAAAAAAAAAAAAAAAAAGAGGAATTAAAAGGAAATCTAGTAAGTATGGGGAAAATTATCTGACTCACTGCAGTCTGCACGACTCTGTTAATGCTTTACAACCAATGTATCACCTATTCAGTCATCAGCTTCCTGACCCCAGAACATGGATGAAGACTGAAACGGTCTTGGAAGGATAAAGACAGAACCCTGAAGGGAAAGGTAGTACCTCCACTTACGCTTAACCCAGTTTCGTGGATACATGTAAGTGATGTACATATAAATAGCACGGTGATGTTTCTTTCCCCAAATTGGCATTTTTATGCCAATTTGTACAATTCGCAGCTAAACAGATACCAAATTGTCAGTTACAAAAGCACAGAAGAAACATGTTCATTTTGTCCACACACTGGAGTTCAGTGATGGCGAACCTTTTAGAGATTAAGTGCCCGAACTGCAACCTAAAACCTACATACTTATCGCAAGGTGCCAACACTGCAATTAACCCTAAATACTGACGGACCATGTGAAGCTCAAAGAGTTGTGAAGCTCAAAGAGCTGCGCTAACGAGGCGCAGCTCCTAACATCATTGCCTGGTGCTGCTTCTCCTTTCACACATGTGCACAGCCCCTATCTGTGCTGTTATCTGACACTCTATGCTGGGGTGACTTGGCTCACTTGTCAGCAAAGAGGGTTCTGCACGCCTGCTGTAGCATGCATCCATAGGTTCGCCACCACTCCCAGGTTACTCACGCTGCTCTTATGAGCTCCTCCACACCACCACTCACCTAGTGACTTGTTTGTGAAAGTCTGTAAGCTGCTTGTGTGTCACTGTGACAGCTCCCACTGTTGTCTCCTTTGGCAAACCTTTCAAGGAATTCTCTAACCATCGACAAAAGGTCTGTATAGGGAAGAAGAGGAATAAGTGTTTTAAAAGGAGGCAGGGTTTACTCACCTGAGGCCCTACAGATGCTAAGAAAACTCCACGGCATTTGCTCCTCTATACTTGGAACAAGTAAAGGAATTAACTAAAGTACTAGCCTTAGTCTTCAAATGCTCTGGGTTGATGCAAATCCAAGTCTACACTTCCCTTCAAAGAGGCAGCAAGCATCAACTCAGACAAAGGCCTTCTTCAATGCCTTCCGGAAGAAACTACTGCTTTGTTCCTGTCCTTAAATTTAAATAATAGTTTAAAAACCTAAAGATGCCAGAAAACTCTTATACCTGAAGATCAAAAGCAACCCAAAGTAAATTTTCAGATATCAAAAAGAGCAGAGGAAAAGTGATTATTAAGTAAGGCAGAGCAGGTTGACCTTGACAGTGTCACAGAAGCCACAAATAAGACCAGAAGATGAAAAACTGAAAAAACTTTTACAGATTTTACAAACACGCTATTAATTGGAAATGTTGGTACTGAGTATTCAGCCATGCGCAATAAAAGAAAAAGGCCAAGTGAAAACAGGGCACTTCAAAACATGGTTGTAGAAAAAGTGATGAGTACTACAGTTCTTTAGTTCTTTTTTTTTTTGGTACTGGGAATCAAACTCAGGACCTTGCCCTTGCCAGGCAGGTGCTGTGCCACTGAGCTATATCCCCGGCAGTACTTGTAGTTCTAAGGCAAAAGAACTGATTGAAAAATATACAATTTAGAATTTGGTAGATGATGATGAATGGTAAGCATTATATATTGCAAATGTACTAATAAAAATAAAAATTAAATAAATAGGTTGTGGCAGATGAGAAATTTTTGTTTTTGCAGCCTTCATAATGGTATCAGGGCCTAACATATCAAGAAGAAATGAACTCAAAGTACCAGATATATTTTCTTTTTTAGTACAATCTGCAATACTTAGGAATATGCTAAAACTTAAATTTATCTGCATGTGAGTTCTTTGTTGTTCTTCTACATGAGTTAGTGTTACTAAGGTAATAGAAAGTTTACTAAAAAAACAAGTATACTAAATAAGCATGTCCTAACCAGGCGTAGTGGTATACGCCTGTCATCTCAGCACTCAGGAGGCTGAGGCCATTTAAGTTATATCCATTCAGTTCCTTTGTGGTACTTGCCTATGTTGTAGTTTAGAAAGTCTCATGCTTGTTGCTATTTAAGATCATTTATTTATATCTGAGCAGAATTTTTTTGAAGCTTCCACATGCACAAAAATTGTCCAACCCCCTTTATTTCCTTCCTCTTCAAACTAAAAATCAAAATTCTAGAGACTTCCTCTATGTTATTTTCAACTTAACTGTTCTCCTTTTGAGTCAACTCTAATTTTTCTCCATCTCTTTAAGTGTGATGTGTACTTTGGTCACAGTTTTCAGCTGTAAAGTTACCTTTTTATACCTACTTTTTTATATTAAGTATTTCTTTATCATGTTCATTTATAATCATAATAGACCAATGCAAATGTAAATATAACATAAATGCTTAACAGACATAGTTCTCCAAATGTTACCCCCAGAAAAGAATTTTTTACTCAGGGAGGAGAAAATCTTTAGGGGCAAAAGTTTCAGCACAGAACCATCAAATTAACATTCTGGCATCCAGAAATGGACTAAGAGTTAATATAGTACGCCCTCAGTGAAAACAACCAACTATTAAAATAGAAGGTAAAAATTCATTAAGTAGACATAATGGTCCTTTATGATCTTCCAATAAAGAATTCTGAAAGGGCCTGGGGATTTAGCTCAGGAGCAAAGCGCCTGCCTGGCAAGCGCAAGGTCATGAGTTCAGTTTCCGGTACCGGAGAAAAACCAACAACAACAACAAAAAAGAATTCTGAAAAATATGGTTGCAAACACTGAATAAGTTTGCCACAAATGGGTATTCAACAAAGAAATGGTGCACAGAGGATATTCACCTTTGATATAAAAAAGTGCTCAAGAATGTGAAAAAAAATTTTCTTTGGAGACAGTCTCACTATGTAGTTCAGGCTGGCCTCAAACTGATGTCAATCTTCTTGCCTCAGCCTCCTTTGACCGTTGGCATTATTGGTGTGTAACACCATGCCTGGCTATGAATTTTCTTTTGATGCATGTTTTACTTACAATATTAATTCATTTATATATAGGCAACCTAATATTATACAAGAATTATTTTATAAAAACTCAGTTGTGGACTGATGTTCATAGAAGAAAATCACTTTTAAGTTATTTGGCAATCAAGTATGTATCTACACAGTAAACTCTTACAAGCACATTGCTACTTGATTTCTGTTCCTCTCCAAACCTGCCAGTCCTACTTTTTCCTTTTATTTTTGGGAAATCAAACCCAGAGTTTCATACATGATATACATGTACTCTACCAATGAGCTACTTGCTCAGCTCCCCATTTTTTTGTGTTAGTACTTAACAATATCTTTAAGAATCAAGAATGTTTTTGTAAAGTTTGATTTCCATAATAAGTCTTCTGTTTCCTAGTAGTCAAGTGTATTTGTAAAAATGTTTAATCAGATTATGGGGATTTTATTTCTCAAGCACTTTTGAAATTAAGTTAGTTGGTCTCTGGAGGGAAAAAGACTACTTTTTTTAAAAAAAGAAAACACAGAAAACACAGAAATAGCTAGGTGTGGTGGTGCATGCCTGTAATCCCAACATTTAGGAGGCTGAAGCAGGAGGATCATCAAGAATTCCAGGCCAGGCTGGGCTACATATAGTGAGGTTTTGAGGCCAGTCTAGAATACATAGCAAGACCTTGTCTCAAAAAAAAGGGGGATGGTGGTGTGCAGATTAGATGATAGCTAGTAGGCAGAGTGTTTTGTTTTGGGATAACAAAAGTGATCTAAACGCCACAGAAATACTACTGTATTAGATTGAAATGGAATATGTATATTGAACAAAGGGTGATGGGAACTATAGGTACTGTTATATACTAAGAAGACAGCTCACTTTAACTAGGTTCAACTGTGTATTTTCCTGAACAGCTTTCTTCTACATTAAAAATTATAAGTACTATTTTTAAAAATAATTCACAGGTTAACCCCACCCCCAAGTCGGTTGTGATGCATGCCTGTAATCCTAGCACTCAAGAGGGTAAGGTAGGAGATCACTGGGAGTTGGAGGCCAGCCTGGACTAGCAGGGGCTTTGTTTTGATCACAGCACACATGCCTGTGATCCCAGAACTCAGGAGGCTGAGGAAGGAAGGTATCTGCAAGTTTGGGGCCAGTCTGTGCTACATACTAAGTGCAAGGCCAGCCTGAACTACATAGGGAGACCCTGTCTCCAAAAAAAAAAAAAAAAATTTACAGGATATATTATACTTCACCACTATGTGCAAAACTTTGACATGGTATACATACATAACTTGAATTATAATTACGTGGCTATAACTGAGATTACTTGGACTTTATTGGATGCTACAATTCTGTTTATCAACAGAGAACAATAAAGTGCTACAGAAAGAGCCCAAAGTGATCGATCACTTCTTGAATAACCCATAACTCACTATAAATGATATATGGGGAACTCTCTCAAGTGACAAGGTCCACAGCTATTTAGCTACAGAGCCAAATTCAATACTTAGTACTTAACTTCTGCTAAGAAACAGCATAAATCTTCTGACAGTGACAAAAATATACTTCTAAGAACCTAATAATGAATTACAAGCTTTATGTGGACTTCCACAATTTAGCAATATCTTTGATGAATGCATTCATGTACCGCACATATATACTAATAAAAATTAACAAACAAAACTTAGCAATGTTCCCAGCACTTGGAAGGCTGAGGCAGAAGGATCATTGCGAGTTCAAGACCAGCCTAGGCTACATAAGAGAGCTCAAAGCCAGCCTGAACTCCATAGCAAGACCGTCTCAAAAGGACAAAAAACAAAAATAAAAACAAAAACAAAAACTTAGCAATGTGCCTAAATTTGGTTCCAAGGACATACACAGCAGGTCTAGTTTCAAAGTTAGAGTCAACTTAAAAGACTAAAACCTGTTATGTCTAGAGACTATGACCACTATGACCACATATTCCTTTTTAAACAATCTTACCGGTCTATCAACCTGCATGATCTCCCAGAGCACTTCAGCCACGTCCGGTAGTGTGTAAGGGGGGAGACAAAAGCAGCATGTGTGGAGCAGTTGGCTTACAAGCTGCTGTCCAAGCTGGTTCATCACCTGTCCAATCAGTTCTTTCCGTAATTCAAAGTCATCTTCATGCTGTAAGAAAGCAGATCATACAACTTGTGTTCTCATTTCTACTATCCAAAGAACAAGTACGGTCCTTTCTCATTTAGTGTAGTAATTTCTCCTTCCTAGGAAATAAAATATATGTATTATGTAACAGCTGGAGTCATGAAGTTCATTAAATGCTTTGTCATTAGGAAGAAAATACGAGTTTATTATCAAAAAATGGGCAAAGGTATCAGATGAGATCAATCTTAACACTTTGATTTTTTTTATGATTAAAAGGCAGAAGAGAAACAATGGTTAGGACTGAGTTAGAATTTTCTAAATTATTTTTCTATGGAAAAAAACCCTATAAAAACCACCCCCACTCAAACCATGTCCTTATTTCCTCTTTAAAAAAACTCCCCTCCTTGCCTCCCTGTCCCAATCCTGTCTATTTTCTTTTGCAAAAAACAAATGAAGTAAGAACTGAAGACTTCTATTAGCGATCTAATCTTTTCTATCAAAGCACCTGATTATTTTTTTCCTTACAACCAGTTCGTTCACATAGGTCTTCAATGCTGTACCTCACCTTCAGTTCTATCCCACAGTCTTGTGAACCACTTCACTGCTGCAGCCAGTCTCTGAATCACTACTTACTTGGTGCTACCTTGACTTTTCCTGATCAAACTTTCTATGCTCTTTAGACTATGCTTTTCTTTCCAGCTCATTCAAGTTCTGTCTTATGGCTCCATTTAAATCCTCCTCTTCCAGAAAGTTATCCCAATCCATTTATGTCCAGAGCTTTCCCTCTATTGAGCTCAAAGTAACCATGACTTTTACCACTCATCTTAACAAATACTGCCTTTTATTGTTATTTAACTCTTTATACCTATTTATCTATTCAACTAGACACCAATTGCTCTGTCAGCAGGGATAGTTTTAGTTGTCTCAGATTTAGCTGTCTACAGCACTTAGCTGTCTGAGTTATAGGAGTTGATAGCTTAGTGAATGATCCACTATGGTATCTATCTACTCATACAGATCAAAGAAGGACCTAAGTAGGATACTGCCTCTCCTTTTCCCAAGTAAGGAAGAGACAGAATAAACTGAAGTAGAAAAGTACAATGAGTATACTTACATCATTGGCTACACCCGTATGGATGAGGTCTCGTAGGAACCTCATGACACTACCATTGGCATCCCGGTGGTCTAGGGTAGTAGAGGCAATGGCCCACTGTAAAATTGGGATGACTACCTGGCTCCTCAGTAGGGTGACAGGGCTACGCTGAATAAACCTAATGTTGAAAGAAAGGTTAAGTATAAATAACAAGATTAGGGTATAAAAGCAGTCGGGGTAAAGGACAAAACCAGGGAAACAGTGGTTCTAAGTATGGTAGGGAGGAAAGAGTGAATAAACAGAACAGAGGATTCTTAGGGTAGTAATAATATTCCATATGACTGTAACGGTGAATGGGTATCACACATTTGTCAAAACTCAAGAGTACATAACATCAAACTTGAACCCTGAGGTGAACTATGGATATTGCAGGATGATGTGTAAATGCAGGTTCACTGATTGTAACAATGGATCAGTCTCTTTTCCTAGGGGATCTCCCTTGGAAAATGAATCACTATAGATATTCTTTGCAGAAATTGGTAAAAAAAATTTGGAAAATATTGTATCTTTTTCTTTAAAAAATTTCTATATCCAATAAATAATCTAAGTAAGGAGCCAAAACAAACAATAAAAACAAAAAAACCCCAAAAACAATAGTTTATTTATTTTTTTTGGATCTTTTTGAGACAGGGTTTTGCTATGCAGTTCAGGCTGGGCTTGAACTCACTTTGTAGCCCAGGCTGGCCTCAAACTCAAGCGATCCTCCTGCCTCAGCTTCCCAAGTGCTGGGATTATAGGTATGCCACCACGCCCAGCAATAATTCACATTTGTAAGTGATGCAAGAATTAAAAAAAAAAAAAAAGTCAGAGCTGTAGCTCAGTGATAAAGTACTTGCCAAGCAGGTTTAAGCCCCTGAGTTCAACCTCCTGAATTGAAAAAAAAAAGTTTCTTTTTTAAAAAAAGGCTTTTATGCTTACTGACTTGGTTCAGATTCCTTAGTAGGGGCCCAGGAAAAATTCAAGCAGAGATTTAGCAACCATATTGTCAGTGTTACTGGGTGGCAGATAGGTAGAGATATTACTGGGTAGTGTATAACCAGGTAACCTCTAAGTCACCTAAAAATCCTAGGAATCCTTTGTTCTGAAACATCTAAAGGGTGCTAAGCTTCCCAAAGGAGTTGGGATGAAGCACAATCAGTCACAGCAGGACGAAAAGCTAACTCCCTATGGCGGTGGCAGAGATTATCTAATCAAGTATTTGAACCAAGTACTTGGCTTTTGGGTGCTGGGGATGGGCCCAGGGCTTCTTCCATGCTACAGCCCCAGCCCATACCAAATATATTTTTGTCTTGTGTGTGTTCTTCCCTTCATAAGAGCAACTCTGCTACCTTGCCTATTCCCACTCAATACTTTCTCCCTTGTCCCCTTCTCGGTAGGACTCTCGCAGATTCTTCTCACCTCTCTTGATATAGCAGCTCACAATTTAACTTTGGGATATGAATCATTAATCTACCTTATCCAATGACCTCATTTTACAGAGAAAGAAATAGCTAAGTGTCAGATGGCAAGATTAAGCAGTGATAGGGATAAGCAACTTAAAAAAAAAAAAAAAAAAAAAGAGCTAAAAAAAAAAAATAAAAAAAAAAAAAAAAAAAAAAAGAGCTTGCTCTTCAGAAAGACTTACCGAGTGGCTAACCTGAACAGGTCATCGACAGTGTCAGGGTGATTCTGGAGGCCATTCTGCTGTTCCAGGAGCTGAAAGGTGGGGATGCACAGTGCCTACAGTAGAACAGTGATTTTAAAAGAAATTATTTATACATGAAAGTCCCAGCATCCAGATGTGCCAACATTACAGCAAATACAAAAAGCACAAAGAAAAGCCGGGCACGGTGGCGCACGCCTGTAATCCCAGCATTCGAGAGGCTGAGGCAGGAGGATTGTTGTGAGTTTGAGGCCAGCCTGGGCTACAAAGTGAGCTCAAGGTCAGCCTGAACTGCAAAGCGAGACCCTGTCTCAAAAGGACAAAAAAAAAAGCAAAAAACAAAAAAACCCAAAAAGCACAAAGAAGGAAAGCACATGTAAAAAAAGAAAAAGATTACAACAAGAAGCAGATCAGTAAAAAAGAAATTTTTCCCAGTTGAAATAAAGTTTTCACATATGAACTCTACATTTCAGAAAAGGCTTCAGGCATATATTTCAGTTGGTGAAACTTGATGGATGTTCCCTCAAAGTTTTAGAAACTTACGAAAGCAGTATTTTAGAAATTTTACGAGCAAAAGATGTGGTCTAGTCCACTAACGGAGTAGATAAAATTTCCATAATAATGAACTGTCAATTTTCAATGAAAAGGTATCTTGGGGGAAAGCAGAGTATTTTCTTTAATCCCCTCATCTATTCCCTCCAGGTGATGAGAAGAGAGGGAAAAGCAGTATCTGAGGAGTCTTCTCTAGTGCCTATTCCTATTTATCCTAACTCCTTCCCTGTTGCTAAGTAAATCAGTTCACTGGCTCTTTCAGGCAAAAAATTAAAAATAAAATCACATTTGAGCTTCTATATAGGAGATCCTATATTTTAAATTCATTTGCTTTTCCTCCCCCTCAAAACTCTACTCTGCTGCTAGGGAATACAAAGCAAGGAGTAACACATATAACAGTTATCATACCATGCAGTCCTCAATCTCTCTCTTCTTCCCCAAGCAGGCCTTTCCAGAAAACAAGTTTTTACCTCCCTATTATTAGGGAATCAACAACACAGGGGGAAAATATAAAGAACCAACAGAAATAAGGACATGGTAAAGAACATACAGGTAGGCCTTTAGACTCTAATTCGCCAGGCCTGATTCTCCCCAAGAAAAACATACCTGGAGCATGTCTAGTAGTCCCTGTCGACAGCCTTCTTCCATGCCATACTCATCCACGAGGATGCTGCCGAGATACAGGAAACAGGAATGCTGATGTACGTGGTACACATTTACCATCTACCAAGGGAAAACAGAACAGCACAAAACAAAAATCAGTTCATTTCTTCATTCTTCAGAAAATATCAACTTAGGAAGCTGTTTCCAGGAAGAAATTCAGAGATAGACTGATCTCTTATCTTTAAGGTTATATGGTAAAGCTTGTCCGTAATGTGTTTTGAAACACAGGGTTAGATTTCTCAATAATTTTCAAGTTTTCTAGAGTTCTTTCAAGCCTTTGACCTTTCCTTTTATTTCCTCTCCCTTCCCTTTCTTCTTCTTTCTTTAATTCTCTCCTCCATCCCTCCCTCTTTTTCTTTCTGGTGTGTGGCGGGGGAGACAGTGGTGTGGGATTCAACCCAGGGCCTTTACACTGAACTACATCCCCAGCCTTTTATTTAAGGCAGGGTCTTGTTAAGTCACTAAATTGCCCAGGCTGGGCTTCAACTTGTGATCTTCATGCCTCGGTGTCCTGAAGTGCTAAGATTTCAGGAAGCCTTTGATCTTTTATCTTATGAAACAGCTGTCTAGAAACTGGAACCCATTACAGAGCTCATGTACTCTTTGCAAAACTAGCATTATTTTTCCATTCCCAACCTCTAGTCAGGTGTAGTGGCGCATGCCTGCAATCCCAGCACTTAGAAGGCTGAGGCAGGAGGATCATTGCGAGTTTGAGACCAGTCTAGGCTACAATGTGAGCTCAAGGCCAGCCTGAACTGCATACTGAGACCCTGTCTCAAAAAGAACCCTCCGCTGGAAAAAAAAAAAAAAAGAAGGCTGAGACAGGAGCATCACTTGGGAGTTTAAGGGCAGCCTAGACTACATAGCAAGTTCAAGGCCAGCCTGAATTAGAATGAGACTCTCAAAAAAAAGCTCCCAATCTCTAAAGGTTGTACTTACTTGCATTATAGATAAGTCTTACATTTTAACAGCACATATAGCCATAGTAGCAACAAAAACATCAAATGTATTTCTTGGAGAAAACTGAAGGGACTGTTTAAACTAAGTTGTTCTTAAAATCATCTTTTAATTAAAAATCATTATTTCAAAAAAATACATGCACCTCAAAAGAATAAGAATCTTAGTATAATACACACATTTAAATTTAAAAATTATTTGTAGTCAGGAGTGATGACATACACCTGTAATCTCAGCATTCTGAGAGGCTGCGCACAAGTCCAGGCAACTTAAGCAAAATCACATCTCAATATAAAAAAATTTAAAAAGACTACGGATATATAGCTCAGTGTGAAGGCCCTGGCTTCCATCCTAGTACCAAAGTGGAGGGGGTGGGGGAGACACAGTTTTTAGAACTCCAGTATCTTCCAAAAATTAACAGGCAAGTATATTTACCCATTTAAAATACCATCCCAAGACATCTGTATTGATCTTATATAAATTCAACACTATGAGCTTGGTGGGGGATGACAGAGTAACTGCTTCTTTCATCAGCATATGGCACGGAACGAGCAGGAGATGAGAGCCCTACATATGAATGGTTTAAATCAGGGATTGTCAATCTTTCGTAACAGACCACACTGTAAAAATGGACACCATAACTGGCTAGTCAGTCTTCTGACTAACTCAGCTTTGCCAGTGCAGCACAAAAGTGCTGGGAGGCGAAACTTAAATGTGCTACATTGGCAAAGTTTATGGCCTTGCTGAGGTTAACAGCGAAACAAACTGCTTAGTGGTCTACGCACAGGCATCCCATGCGGAGTAACTACATGTGAATACTTCATACAGTGAGTCACAGCATCAAACTGCTTTTTTGGGGGCACAGTACTAGGAATTGAACCTAGGGCCTCATGCATGATGGGCAGGGACTCTACCACTGAGCTACACGCCCAGTCCTTATTTTTATTTTGAGACAGGGCCTCACGAAGTTGGTCAGGATAGTTTTTTTTTTCTCTTTTTGAGACAGGGTTTCAATATGCAGTTCAGGCTGGCCTTGAACTCACAGCGATCCTCCTGCCTTAGCTTCCTGAGTGCTGGGATTACAGGCATGCGCCACCATGCCAGTAGCTCAGGCTGGTCTTGAACTTGCGATCTGCCGGCCTCCATCTCCCATGCAACACTACCATATCATATAGATCTTGATGCTTGAGAGTCAAATTTATATTTTGACAAATAAAAGACTCATGTGAAAAAAACTGTAATGGAGAAATAAAAGTTTGACTTAGCACATTTTTTTCCCTAAGAAAATTAACATAAAAATGCTTCCCCTTGGTATATAAAGGCTGAGTATGAGTCATTCTCTTCACATAATTTCACACTGGAATGTGTTACTATTCAGACTACCACTATACAGAAGAGATTACAGGCTGTCTTCTCTTATAGACAACACATCAACCATAGGCACTTAATCTCTTTCAAATTTTTTTTAGTTTGTATTTAGTAAGTCAAAAGCATTCTGCCAGAAGTTTTTGCTCTAAAGACTCCTACTGGAAATTCTGTGTGAATTCCTCTTGTAGGGAACTTACCTGTGTGACTAGTGGCTGTAGCAGGGCTGCAGATCCTTTGCCTACACAGCGAACAGCGAAACGCAGGCATCTGCAACAACGTTCTACAATCCGATTATCAGCCCGGTGTTTATTTAGAGTCTCGGATAAAACTGGCCATATCTAAGTCAAAAGTGACAAAGTACAAGAAAGAAAATAATCAACAACTAAGACCTGAAAAGATGTTCCTAAGTTGGTTAACACCTCACTTAATTTTAAATAATCTGTATAAAACTTTCTCTACAGGAACATACATGCTCTGATTCTGGCCGATGTGTGTGCGTTCGATATACTACCCATCACCAAAACCCAATCCCTTTTTAAGAGAAACAACACAACTCTTTATAAGAGGTAGCACACGCCTAACTTTACTAAAAGGAAGATGCACATTTTCCTAAACTTCAGACTCCCAGAATGAGGGTGAAAACAATGAATTACAGGGAAGGAGATACTTAAACAATTAAGGATATTTAGTATTTATATAATTTCCCACCTGAAGTCTAAAAAGCACTTCTCAAAACCATTACCCTTGTTCCTCAGATTATCCTTAGTGGAAACAGCATAAGGGAAGTATGCTCTCAGTGGGGAAATTGAAGCCGTTAGGTTTGTCAAAAACATTTTGCTGGTCTTGCCTAGCGTGCATGTCTTACACTTGATCTCTCTCACCATGAAAAGGAAAAAAATGTATCACACCTCCTGGGTCACACAGTTATTCTGTACTTCTCTGGCCTTTCAGTGCATTTCCCCATAGCCTGTTTTGTTATCAAATCTAAAGCCAAAAGCATCTGGATGATCTGTCCCACATTTCATTGAAATTGAAACCATATCAACAATTAGAATGTCCCCATCAACCTAGAAGACAGTACCTTCGAAACCCAGTTACCCAAAGCCTTGTAAGGAAAAGAAGAAAGCCTTGATTCCACAGGCATCCATTAGCACTTACTTCCTGTATGACTTTTTGGCATGGATGAGTCTGTCCATTTTCCACAATGGGATTGGTGTGTCTGGAAATAGACAAGGACCCAAAATAGTGAAAAAAGAGCAAGATCCTTGCTCCCTGCTTGCTTAGTATAATCGTTACCACAGAAAGAAGACCAGACAGTGGAATCATTTACAGCAGCATCCTTCCCTCTTACTTCAGTTACACGAAAACAAGCACATACTTTCAACTATACTATCATTTTTTTTTTGCCACCATCAAGTCACTTCCACTAGAACATCCAAATTCTATCCAACTCTGCTTACATGAACTCTAAGGAACTACTATTTTTTCCCAATCCTTTTACTTTTCCCATTTCTCCTCTTTATAAATCTAAGTATGTAGTTTCTTCCCAATTAATAAAAAAAAAACTATACACAAGCTGTATGAGTCCTTCATAAGAAACCAAGCACTGCCCCATTCCCATTAAAAGACATAAAGCTTTAAGAACTGTATCTGCCACAGATATTTCTCATAATTCTTGTCTGAATTCAGTGATACACAACACATACCCACCCACAATTATGTCAAATCCAACTACTCTATCTGGTTCTAATTTGAGGAAAAGCAGTCAGAAAACTACACGATTAACTACTAACCTCAAGCTACTCTTCAATTCTAAAAAAAACCCAACAATAACTTAATAAAAATCTGGTTTTCTTTAAGCATTTACACCTATTGTAGATTTCCTCTTATTTACTGTAAAATAAGTGTTATCATTAACAGGATCAGAATGGCATGTAACAGGGCCCTCCTAACTATATAAGCAAAGCATTGCACCAACCTAGATTTGTTGACAATAGCTAATAAATGAAAACAGTGCCTTAACTTCACCTACACATAGTTCTATGCAACCATTACTCTATCTACTCACTTAAAAAGCTCTGTCAGTCTCACAAATTTATGAATTACATAATTTAATTGGGTACACATTTTGACACTGTCACTCAAATGCCTTTCTAGTCACTGGCTCTTCTTGACTTCAGAGTGACTAATTTCACTTGATCATTGAGGACAGTTTATTAGTATTCTCTCTCTCTCTCTCTCTCTGTGTATCATACACTAGGTATAGATAATTTAGATGTATCAAAGGCTCTGAAACACCATGCAGCAGCAGCATTACTTGGGAACTTACTGGAAATGCAATTTTTCAAGTCCTACTCAAGATGCAAAGAATCAGAAGCTTAAGAGCTGGTCCCCAGCAACCTGTGTTTTGATAAACTCTCTAGGTTTCTAATACATGCTAAAGTTTGACAATCACTGAAATAGAGACCAAAAGAGTCAATTATATTTTTAAAACTTCTTTTGACAAAGGTCTACCAAGAATGAATTCTTAGAATTTGCCTTTGCTCCAAAACTTTAGGTAGGTTTCATTCGCGTTTTCAACCCAAGCAAGGAATCCAGTCTCCCTTCTTACCTAAATATCACCGCTAGGCGATCTAAGAACACAGTAGGGTCTGAAGATATGCCATTGCTGGGCTCCTGAGACAATAGCTAAAGAAAGAAACAGTAACACCCAGTGGTCACATGTGTAAGTTAGCAAACACTTCACACACCTTTAACCATCAACCTCCCTATCTCTATAGCCTTATAAACAGCATACAAATTACTTAAGATGTGCAAACTTAATTTGTATTGTCAAATTACTTTTCTTCATCTTACTGCATCCTGGCCAAGAGTACATAGTATACATTTTACTATCTGATCACAGGAGTAGAAAATAGTATCATTTGATTTTTTTCCATTTATTTAAATTATTTATTAAGATACTAGCTTTGTATAATAAGGCTTTAAATTTATTACAGCTCTAAATAAGATGCCTCTCATTTTTTTGGGTACAATTTCTTAGATATTCTTACCAGTATATTAATGAAGATGAACTTTAGAGTCATTATATAATGTTCTAAAAACCCCATTGGTATGTCTACTATTATTGCACTAAAAATGTAATTGGGGATGAGGTAATACCTTAAAATAGTCTTGAAGGATACATGATAGATTATGGTATTTTTTTGTCTTGTTTTTTGGGGTGGTACTGGGGACTGAAACCAGGGCATTCACAATGATCTACATTCCCAGCTCTTTTTATTTTATATTTTGAGATGGGGTCACCTCACTAAGGTGCCCATGGTGGGCTCAAACTCGTGAGCTTCTTGACTCAGCCTCCCATAGTGCTGATACTAACAGGCATGTACCACCACACCCAGCACGGTTATGGTTTTGACTCTAACTTGAATGGTTTTTTCCCATTTACATTCTGATTGGTTATTTTACTGATTGTGAAATAGTCAAGTGCTAGATAAGCATTATTTTGGTCAATGCCAGAACATATAATAAATGGTGGTCCCAAAAGATTGTAATGGAGCTGAAAAATTCCTTTCACCTTGTAACTTCATAGCTGTCACTCTACCGTTCTGTCTGTGGTGATACTGATATAAACAAACCAACTGCGCTGCTAGTGGTATAAGAACACAGCACTACGATTACGTACAGTACATAATACTTGATAATAAATGACTGTTAAGGTTTATGCATTTACCACTACTTTTTATCATTTTACAGTGTGTTCCTACTTAAAAGGAGAGGCTCACTGTAAAACAGTGTGCTGCAATATGCTGCAAGCAGCCTCCTACATCTCATGATTGCGTGGAAGAGGCTATGTATGTGACTGGCTTATACCATCTGAGTCTGTGTGCACGCTGTTTGCACAACTACAAAAATGCGTACTAATTAACTTCTCAGAAGGTATCCCTGTCATAAAGGGAAGCATGACTGCACTTTTTCTTTGTATGTAGCTACTTTGACAGACTAATCACAGTGATTTCTCAGTTCATTCTCTTGGCTTTTCTAGATAGAAGATAATCTGTAAATAAGAAAATTTGTCTTTTCTCTTCCAACAGAATAACTTCTTATATTTGTTTCATTCCTTACTTAATTGGACTTACCTTTTTCAATGCCATAACCTGAACAGAACATAGTTCACTGAGACATTCAGTAATCTTATCCAATGGTAATCTGGCTAAGACAAGTGCTGTCCCTAAAAAATAAAGATGAAAATGAAGAAAATAAAACCTAAATTGAAGTAATTCAACTAAATGGGTTACACTATACAGGTTAACAGAAAAAGCTGATTGATTCCATTTTTTTTTTTAAATTAGCACTTTCTAAAACTACAGCATTCTGTTATTTATCTATTTATTTATTTTCAATTTGACTTAGAAGACTATAGACTGGCTTTTACACTGACATTTACAATCAAAGCATTATTTCTTTTCAGCAGCCTTTTGGCTTAAAGATGTTTAAACATGCCTCCCTTCGAGTTATTCAAGGACTTTACAAATCATCTCCACAAAGCTAATGCCAAAGCTATTTTTATATACCATAATGCAATGTTTCTCTTCCTTCCTAGAGAGTCTGATTTAGTGGATCAGGAAGAGCCTCTGTTTTTGATAAGCACCTTAGGCAACTCTTATCAGAGAGATCTAAGAAATGCTGACATAATGCTTTCAGAAAGAGAGAACCAAAGTCACAAGATTTCCTGGTCATCTACTGTGTACTCTCCTCAGACTCAGTCTCTCCATCTGTGAGGTAAGTAATTTGAACAGAAAGTTAGCAATCAAGTTTGCCTTTCTTTTTTAAAGAAATATTTATAAGCCAGGCATGGTGGCGCACGCCTGTAATCCCAGCACTCGGGAGGCTGAGGCAGGAGGATCATTGCGAGTTCGAGACCAGCTTGGGCTACAAAGTAAGCTCAAGGCCAGCCTGAACTGCATAGCAAGACCCTGTCTCAAAAAAGACCAAAAAAAAAAAAATTATAGAAGTCTCTCTCTTCTCTTCAAATAAATTTTTAACTTGGAACTCAATAGGTTAAAAAAAAAGAAACAAAAAGAAAAAAAGACATTAGGTTTAAGCGGGGATACAAAGCCCGCCCTTACTACTTAGTCTCCCTCTTGTTGTAATCCCTACTAATCAGTCCCCAAATCCAAAGATTACAGATTAGCCAACTGCCCTTCAGGTTAAAAAAAAAAAACCTCAACTGTGATTTTTTTCAACTTAAATTTCATTCAATAGAATAATAACTCATCCCCAAGACTGAATAAAAAAGTCCATAAGCTATCAAATTAGACTTAAAACTGTGTGTGTGTGGTGAGGGGAACCTAACTTGAATATGATTTTCTTTTCAATTCATTTTTATGGAAAAAAAATTGTTACCAAATAGTTTTTTATGTGTAGAACGTATCACTGATAACTGGGAGACCACAGTCTACTTCAGGATGAACACCATGTCAGAATCATGGTTATATGACAAGCAAGAATACCTGTGATTTAATGCCTTACTATCTATACCTATGGAGGTATAGATAACAACATGCCTCCCTTCGAGTTATTCAAGGACTTTACAAATCATCTCCACAAAGCTAATGCCAAAGCTTTAACAACAAAACCCACGGCACAAAAAGAATTATCTGTGGAAAAAGCATAGTTCCACAAGCTAGTGAAGAACCTAGTCACAGAAACAAGAGAATAGAATTCATTCACACATAGTCATCTACTCCTGCAAAGGCTGTCTGACACACATGCTCAGAAGACACCAACACAGGTCATCTTACCTGATCCTTTACTTGTTAACACTGCAGCCCCCTCTAATTTGCCAGCTAGAAGGATTTTACTACCTCAAGGGCACCCTAATCTGACTTCAGAAAGTTTGGCTAGAAAGCATTTTCTTTCTAGGAGCCAGTATGAGCTTTCCTCTAAATGGCTGAGAAGTGAATTAGTATGATCCCTTTCTATAAAATAATCGTCCAAATGTTTAAAAATAACCATCATGTTTAAAGTTATTTCTGTCTTTTTTCCTAACCTTACTATCTCTAGTTCTTCCATCAGTCTGCGCCTCTCCCCACTCCAGCTGTCCACTTCTGTAAAGCAGGTATCCAGTGTGAGCAGAGCCAGCAGGACCCTTGCTTCTACTTTTCACACTGACCCATGCACACAACTTTGCAATTTCTACTTAATCTTTTTGGAATGACATTACCTACTTATTTAGTCTCTGTTTTAATTCTTCCTCCAATTTAAAAAGCAACTACGTTTAATTCAAATGTGTTGTTGCCACACAAAATCTAAATCTGTGCCATGCACACAAATGCAAGCACACAAAGTTAACACCCTCCCAAGTAGAAAAGCCACCTTCACCATTACTTAAGTACATTATAACTGAAAAACTGCAACATGTTTATGTAAGATAACACGAAGCAGTGGCCTACAAGAGATTGGTACTAGTTAACACCTTAATGAAATACCTTTTAGCAAGCCCACAGCAGCTTCTGGAGATAGCATGAAGGAGTCAAGGGATCGGGCAATCTCCAGGAGTCCATTAAAGTGCTGAGCCATGTGATCTCGGCAGACAGAGCAAATGTTATGAATGGCTTTAGCTGCAGCAGAAGCCAGGGGCTTTTCACACAGGCCTTTCATCAAATAGCCCAACACAGGGTCTAAGGAGTAAAGCCAAATAGAGATTATACATACACGAAACTAAAAAAAAAAAAAACTAGTTTGTTAGAACAGAAGTTTGTACTTTTTTTTAAAGTCAAAGAATTCTTTAAAAAATATGTACAGAGTCCCCAATATAAAAACATAAAAATAGAGCTGATCTTGTTGACTTAGTGCCGGGCAGCCTGGACCCCTGTTTCACCTCCTATTTCTTTCCTCGTGGTGGCCCACTGCTCCTTCTAACTCTACCATTCATGGGCACAGTTTGAAAACCACTAATAGAAAAAAAAAAGAAAAGCACTAACTGAAGCATTTAGATGGCCATCTAATTATTACAATAGTACTGTAACACAGAATAAAAAACTCAGAGTGCCCATTAGACCCAGAGGTTGATCACGGGGTAAAACAGCCTGCACCAGTGGTGGCTGTCTGCATCATCACTGAAAGCTCTATGAGGTCTCGTCATGGCCTACAACAATGAAGACAATTACAGTCATCTAAAGCAGACACTTTATTTCTGCTTCTTTCTAGTTACAAAAGGCCTTAGAAATATGCAGACAAATCTTTACCACAACTAAATGAACTAATTTACTATGTTTAATTTTACCAAATGTAAATGTTCAAAGAAAGTTGATTGAAAAGATGAATTTTTTTGAACAGATAAATTTCTGTAGAGTAAGTTCCAATCATTTCACTTTCCTTTAGAAAAATTACAATTTTTTGATAGAAAAACTCTAAGCAAACCATATATGGTTAAACAGCATTTGATGATGACTGTATTTTAGAATGACCCATAGCAAACCATGAAAAAAACCAAAGAAATCAAAAGAATAGGTGTTAAGGCCCATTTCAAACCATTTATTTTCATTTTTTATCTAACAATACAATGTACCAACACAGCACAGCCCCGTCCATCCTCAAACATCCCAACCTTCTTTAGCATAAGACTCTCAGAGGACCTAGAAGCTGGAACATAGCTCAACAACTAGCAATGAAGACTTTACTCGTTCTCAAACTGAGTATTTGCGGTTTTGGCTATTTTTACTGGACATGGACAGGAGACATTAAGTCAAAACGAACAAGGTGAGTGAAGTGGTGTGTGCCTATAATCATAGTTGCTTGAGAGGCTAAGGCCAGAGGATCACTTGAGTCCAGGAGTTCGAGATCAGCCTGGGCAAACAGTGAGACACCCTCTTTGTATATCAAACAATAAACAAATGAATTCACTTTTTTTCCCCTGTGGAAAAGTGATTCAGAAAGAATGCTGAAGTAGTACAGGCACTTGCCTCACACACACAAGGCCCTTGGGTTCAATCCCAAGCACCACCACCAAAAATAACTTGGACAAATAATGGAAGTGAAAAGATCCAAGAATTAGAAAATAGGCATTTAAAAAACATTTTGAAATAGTACATTCAACTTGGAAAGTGCCTCAGTTTCAATGTGAGGATGTCCACCATATACTCTCTCTAGAAATGGAAAAAAAGGGAAGGAACACATTCTTTTATAGCGAATATTTTAATTGTTAAAAGCAGATAGACTGTGCATAAAATAAAATCAATCAAGAGCTGATAATTAAGACTGCAAAGGAAACACATCAAACTTAAGGATGTAATATTATTCACAAATTTTGGGATTCTTAAATTCTTGGAATGCATCCTTCCCTTTTAGGTGCCTGATGTGAGCTGTCTATATCTATATATCTATGTCTCTATCTGTATCAGTCACTCTGCATAAATTATTTTCTTTGGATCTCAGCATCCATATCTGTATGAGGGGGTTAGGATAACCAATTTCTAATTTTACCTCCAATTCTAAAGTTATTTTATATGACCTTGGGCTGGGGATATAGCTCAGTGGCACAAATGCCTGCCTGGTAAGCGCAAGGTCCTAAGTTTGATTCCTGGTACCACAAAAAAAAAAAAAAAAGAGTGCTTTATATGACCTTTAGTTATTTTTGTAAGTCAAAAGGGCCAGTGTCAGAGGTAACATAATTCAATACTCTTCATCTTAATTTGTATTTATCTAGTTTTGAATAATTCTTAGTTTTTAAATGGAACATGAAGAACATGTATATAACACTCTTCACGCTTAAGCAGAGTACTAGAATCAAACAATTTCCCTATCTGTATATCTAATTTTTCAAAGTTCTCCTCCCAGATCAATTACAAATGTCTTCTCCTTTTTTTTTTTCTGGTACCGGGAATCGAACTCACGACCTTGAGCTTGCCAGGCAGGCACTGTGCCGCTGAGCTAAATCCCCAGCGCCCCCTACAAATGTCTTCTCAACTAAGCAACTTACAACATACTTAATCTAAGTGCCTACAAATGTTTCACCTGTCAAAAACAATCCAAAAGCTGAAAAAAAAAGAGCAAAGAGAAGAAAATCAGAAAAATCACAACTAGCAGCAATAGAGGAGAGAGTTCACACGTACCAAGGAACTGAGGATTTCGATCAACCACTTCACTCATTTCTCCAACCAGCTCAATGCTAGTATACCGCACAGCTGTATGCACAGTCTCTGGGAGACGGACAACTCCTTCTAGGACTTCCACAAGTGTTGGGTTGTTCTCCCTGAGTACAGAAAGCAAGTATTTAAATTACTGACTTCAGAGGTTATGTTCTGGTAAAGTAACTGGTGCAGTGAAGCATCACACTGCTGAAGGACTTCTTCATAAATAAACAACCATTCAAATAAGTTGTTTTGTTATTTTTTTAAATACTGGGTGTGAATGTTTTTCAAACTCTTAAAAAAAGGGAAAAAATATAAATGAAAGATATCATTCTTTGGGGAGAAGCATTCTGCTCCTTCATCTTCTGAATGCCAGGAAATTATCTAAGGACTCATCATGTTATCAAAGAGAGGCTCTTCCAATAGGAGAAGCAGACACTTACTGGGAATAAAATGTCTTCTTATAAAAAAAAAATCTATTCCATTTATTCTAACATCTGCAGCACCTAGAACAGTGCCTGGCACATAGTGGGCACTCAAAACATATTGCTGAATGGTGAACCGAATGAATAACTTTCATAGTTCATTTTTCTATTAACTGTTATTCTCCAAAAGATTTCTTATAGCTGGATACTGGAAACTTTAACACCAGAAAAGTATAGGTAGACCAGCTCACTAACCGAAAGAACAAGGAAAAAGCTTCAGGAATAGACTAAGGTTTCTTGATTGGGACATGAGGAGAAAAATAAAGTTAACCAAGCACTTTCCACAGCTGTATGAACTTATCCCACTCCCAAATTATACTTGCTGAAGTTCTTTTAAACAGAGTGGAGGATGCTCCCAAAGTGATATAACTTAATCCAGAAATGAAGATGTTTAAAATGTAAATAATATCCTGGATTAGCACAAGAGCGCCCCCTGCTGATAACTAGGTCTATTAAGTCCTTTCAAGGGACTAAAAAATTGTAATGTAATTGGCTTGACATGCAGATAAACAAACAATAAAAAAATCGTCTTATATTTATGCCTTTAGTTTCCTCTGAACACTAAGCTAATTATTGAAGACTATCTACCCATCCTTTTTTAAACTAACACTTTTCAAGATTTTAATGATTTTTTGTTTTGTTTTGAGACAGGGACCCCCTATGTTGCTCAGGCTGGCCTTGAACTCACTATGTAGACCAGGCTGGCCTCAAACTTACAGCAATCCTCCTGCCTCAGCCTCCTAAGTACTGGAATTACAGGTGTGGGCCACCACACCCAGCATTAATAATTTTAATAACCTTCAGACTATCACAGAAGGTTCCAAAGACACCAAAATAGGTCTAAAAGCAAATAGTATATAGTATGTAATTCAGGACCATAACTTAATAAAGAAAAATAAAACCTCAACTCTTTGAATATTTACTGGATTAGAAACAACAGAAAATCTCACTGACTAAGCCCAGAAAAACAACTAAGAAGTTCTTTGGTATTAACAAATATCTGTGTTAATCATCTTTCCAATTCAGGCCTCAAATGAAAAGGTTGATTAAAGGTAACCAATCAAAATACAAACTAACTTGATAGATACTAACATCAATGTATAAACTCATGATGTAAAGAAAATTCTGTCTTTAAGGATTCATGTCACAAATAGGATTTCTACGCTAAGCAATTAGAAATCAAATTTAATATAAAATTTTTCAGTGGTAATAATAAAGATCACTACCCTTTAGATTTTGCTATTCTTTTAGGTGAAAGGGGGTTTGTGCCTTGCCTCTCAAAAATTCACAAATGATTCTCTAAGAAAAACTGGAAAACAATATAATTAAAAATATTGATAATTTAACCACAGTCACAAAAGTAGGAGAGCCAAATTAATGCCTGTTCAATTACTTTTAAACAAGTACCAATAATTTAATACTCTAACAAATTCTTGATCATACCTTCTTTGAAATGAGAGCCTCAGTTGGAAAAATAGATTAGATTCTATTCCTAGCATGAACGTACATCATTTTAACTCTAGGAAATATGGATAAAATATAGCATAAGCAATACAGGCCACCCTGAACAAGACTCTAGAAGTCAGAAGACTAGACAGCATTACAGAAGTAACACATTCTGAGAGTTTCTAACCATACAGCACTTAAGGGCTGGAGATTAAGCTCAGCGGCAAAGCGCCTGCCTGGCAAGCGCAAGGTCGTGAGTTCGGTTCCCGGTACTGCAGAAAAACCAAAAAATCAAAAAAAAAAAAAAAAAGAAAGAAACATACAGCACTTAAAAGAAAAATGGTAGAATAGTCCTTTCCTTTTGATATTTAGAGTTCCCAGCAAAAGACTTATTAGACACTCACGGATCAACACTCTTTGCTATAGCAGCCATGATAAAGAGAACCGCTTCTGTCACCTCCCAGGGTGGGTTGCCTTCTTTCAGAGTAGAATATAACTAGAGAAGAAGAGTTGCATTATGGATCCATTAAAAGGAAAACAATTCCAAAGCAAATAAAAATAAAAAATGCTGTTAGAAATCCAGCTCCTTGTTTCTAAACCTCATTATCTCTTAGAGCCACACAAGAATATTATTTTCATTTGTCACATCCTCATTAACTAGAAATAACAATTATTTTAATGTTTGAAATAAACTCATTTAGATCCCAAAGAATTTATCAAGATTATCACCTGCCTCCAGAAAATGAATATTATGGGAAAACAAAACATATTACACGTCTTTTTCCTGGTCCTAACAGTTGATAAATACAAAAACACACTTAAAATGAGGACACAATGTAAATCCTCTACACATACATTATCTTTACTTTTCTACTGTTTTAACTATTTGTCTGCATCAATACTGGCAGTACAGTTTAAGTTCCTATAAAACCAGCTAATTAGAAGGATATATAAGCGGAATTTTTTCTTTACAAAAGAGACACCTAACCTCATTAGAATGCAATCCACCAACACAAAAATCATCTGAAATTATGCTAATGTTAAGTGATATGGAACAATGATGACTACAACTGATTGTCAGGAAAACCACAGGACTATAAATCTAGTATCATCATTTCTGGGATGAAACTGCACAGGGTAGGAAAAGGAAATGCCAAATAACCAGAAGAGTTGACAAGAGCTGGTAGAAAATTATTAAAGCAGGAAAACGTGCCTGTTTTTCCTGGATAGTCCTAAATTCCCTATCAATGTCCTAGAGACTTCAGTGCTTATCTATCATCTTCCATTCCAACTGCACCAGTGGAACGGCTATTACTACCAAGTGTAATAGACCAAATCATAACTGAATTATCTGTGGACTGTAATTGGATTGATACTAAATAAACATAGCTACTATATGCCAGGCAATGTGGTAGGCACCTGCATATCTGTAATCCCATTCAGCAACTAAACTTGAAGAAAAGAAATGGAACATTTAGAGAAGGTATAATGGTGAACACAATTTAAAGTGATCAGTAAAACTGACTCAAGAATCTCCACAGGAGCTTACCTGAGCAAAGCATTCCATAGACCCAATCAAGAAAATCAAATCCTTCACCAGGTCTGATACCCTCATCCGAAATTCTCCAAAGTCATCCGTTTCCTCAGGAACCCCCTCCTGAAATTTTAAATCAGGTTCCATTTATTTTAAACTCACTGTGGCTTTCAATGACTACTATAAAATCAATAGAAGAAAATGCCATTAAGCAGTTGTAACCCAGTGAACCAAAGTTGCCTAAATCACAAGCATATTTTACTATACAGAGGGGAACAAGGTCTCCTAAACTGTTGGGTATGCTGAATGAAAACAACCTGTCCTCTACCTTTACTACAAGAAGCTTTTCTGTTCACATGTGTGCGTGCTTTACCTTTCCAAGCTATACCTCTTTTATGTTTGGAAAAATGTGGGGTGATAGAAGTGAGAAGCAGCCTGGAAAAAGTGGTAAATTAAGAATTATAAGCCAATCTAGGGTCAGCTCTTTAGTACTGAACAAGTCTCTGAAGTTTTAGTGTTCAAAATCTTCCAAATCAGCCATTATCACAACAATTTCCAATAGAATTATAAATCCTTCCTATCATAGTATACTTATGTAAGTAAAGAGTTACTAATTAATGCTCAAATAGTTAAGGGCCTATATGAGAATCTTAGCCTATACCTAGAAAAGGCCCTTAGTACTACTAAGAACTGATCTGGTTCAACCCTACTCTTAATATGAATAAATTAAAGTCAAGAAATATGGAGGGAATAATGGCTGTCTCAGATGAAATAAATACTTGCCAAGGAAATGGTACCACTGAACTAGCGAAGGAAAAAAGTGGATCAAATAGAACCATTTAAACCAGAGTAGCCCTACTTTTACTTATATGTTCATCTTTCAAGTAAGATGGAAAGATAGGATTCTTTAGGGTTTTTTTTCTTTTTTTTTTAAGAGGGGTGTGTGGTTTGAAAACCACTTGACCAGGTCATCACTAAGATTCTAAAGAGATACATAACGCCATTACGCAAATATAATGTCTTTTTTGTTTTTTTTTTTTGGTCTTTTTGAGATAGGGTCTTGCTATGCAGTTCAGCCTGGCCTTGAGCTCACTTTGTAGCCCAGGCTGATCTCAAACTTGCAACAATCCTCCTGCCTCAGCCTCCCAGAGTGCTGGAATTATAGGCATGTGCCACCATACCCAGCCTTTAAATATAATACTAAAATTCAAATTAAGACAATGGTATGTCAGATTTACTTGTAAGTAATAAAATTTTCTCTAAATATAATACTAAATTCAAATTAAGACAATGGTATGTCAGATTTATTTGTAAGTAATCAAATTTTCTCCAGGTCCTAGATTTAATGAAATGTTAAAATGAAGCAAAATTTGAAGAAACCCAAGAATGAAGGTCAAAGGAAGGTCTTACAATGGACTTTTAAAATAAAATTTCTTGAAACTGCTTTTTTTCAAAGCATATGAATTAATTCTGTTTTTTAAAATTATGAAGTCAGGGCCGGGGATTTAGCTCAGTGGCACAGCGCCTGCCTGGCAAGCGCAAGGTCATGAGTTCGATTCCTGGTACTGGGAAAAAAAAAACAAAACAAAACAGAACAAAAATAAAATAAAATAAAATAAAATTATGAAGTCGTTGTAAATAACGTGAAGATATATATGTACAGAGAGGACCACATGTAATTTTCAACATCCTCATATAAGTATTTCATTTTTGTATTAGTTTTAATTTAAACATATATATCACACTATTAAAAACATATATTACACTATTAAAAATTCTAGAGTGATTTAATTACCCAACTATTTCAGTATCATTATTATTTTTAATTGATAAAGGCTCAGCAAAGTGCTATATCATAATTTATGTCACTCATATTGTTATACGTAGCTTACCATTTTTTATTTTTCTAGATAATACAAAATAGCTATTTTTTCTTTCACAGAACTAAGATAAATACCTGGAAGAAGAATTGCTCAGCAGGAGCAATATTTTTTGTACATCAGCCTCTTTGTCATACTAGTACTGACTTCTTCACTGTAAGCTTAAGTGGCAAAATCTGAAGATTCTACTAGCTCTAATTTTCTCAAATTAGTACTGAGAAGAAGAGGAGATCAAGATTTGAAGAAGAGAAGTGAACTTACATGGTCTGGTTCCAGCTGGCAGTGTCGAGCCAAGGCATGAAGCAGCCTCTGAATATAAGCTTTAAAGATGCCATGTATGACTTCATCATTAGTTTTGTACAAATGCTCCCCTAGTCGGTACCAAAAATTAAAGGAAATTTCTACTACCTGTCAGATTAAAAAAGAAAGCATAGTTTATTTCAATAAGAAAGAAAAGGAAGGCCAGGTGTGGTGGCACATGCCTGTAATCCCACCACTTGGGAGGTTGAGGCAGGAGGATCGGTGCAAGATTGAGACCAGCTTGGAGTACAAAGTGAGCTCAAACTCAGCCTGAACTGCATAGTGAGACCCTGTCTCAAAAACGCAAAAAAAAAAAAAAAAAAAGGATAAAAAGAACTCAGTACAGAGTTTTATTATTACTAAGGTCATATAAGAAAGAAGATGCATTTTTACACAAACAGAACCAGTTAAAAAAGCCACTTTTTCTTTAGTAAGATTTATTATACTATACTCTCAAATATCTCTCCATTTTAGTACCCAAACTCCAGTTAGGATGAATGGCTTTACATTTGGGGTAACTTCCTCCAAAGTACATAATGGATTTTGAATTTAGAGAAACTGATACTGAAATGGAAGTCTTTTTTTTTTTTTTAATTTTAAAGAGTAAGAGAAGGATAACAATAATGGGGGGAGGCTTACCAAATTACAGACAAAGTGGTAGGAAATTATCAATGGTTATTGTTTTACATATTGTTATCTACAAGATAGTTTCTCAGGAAAACAAATAGACAAATAATAGTGAGTTACAGACAAAAGAGGTAGGAGATTATCAGTAACTGTTGTACTCTACTTAGGTATCTTTGAAAGAAAATAAATAGAACGATACATGAGTGACCTATTGAATAATCATTAACTATTCTCAATGGTTGTTGTAGGAAACACATAATAATAAACATGCATCCATTTATGAAATAGGATAGGAACAATACAAACATTACAGAGTTATGGATAGATTAGTAGGAAAATATCAACGACTGCTGTAATACATGTTGGTATCTTAGAAGTAGTGAAATGGAAGTCTTTTTAAAAGTATTTTTCTGAAATTCTGGAATCATTTCATTATATGCTTGAGATTAGAATACTTCTTACCAGGCAAGCTATCTGTAAATCTCTGAACATAACTTAATGAGCCTCACGTTATTTTCATTTGCCTGCTTTCTTGAGTAGAAGGCAAAGGGAGAAAAATTCTGTGATTTTATAGCCAACCTTCCACATGGCACTATTTAAAAACAGTAATCATTACTATACAGTACTATACTTCTAAAAATGCTCTGAGTTTCAACCAAACCTACACATCCTCATGAGATTAAATATTACCTTTCATGTGGTAACAGTAAAAGCGATGAGAATCACAGGACCATATGTCTAAGAGTAAGCAGAGTAAGAGGGCCCTATAGTTCCCTTCTTATCAGGGATCCAAAACAGAAATACTCAAAACAATGCTCAACTCAGAAGCACTTCTTTCTCAATTGTACTGTGAAGATGAAGTAAGAACTTCTTAAATGAATGAAGAAAACTTTAAAAATTCAACTTAAAAGGACAGGTATCTTAAAGATTTTATTTATTTATTTATTTATTTATTTATTTATTTATTTATTTATTTATTTTTGGTCTTTTTGAGACAGG